ATAATGATAATAATAATAAAAATTTTAAAAAGTTAGTAGAAATCCTCAATTTCTTCATCTTAGGCTTTAGTATTTGGAGTATAAAATGGAATAATTGTTCTTAAAAGGTCTTCCTTGCGTATGTATGAATATTATCCTATCACAGACAACAGTGTATTTCAGGATCTATCTCAATTTCTTTTTGGCAACTAATGTGGCATGATATTGGGAAGGGTGGAGGGTCGGCAAAGGAGAGGAAGACCCTCAACCAAGTGGATTGATACAATGACTGCTACAATGGGATCTTGTGTGTCAGGACTGAGGATGGCTCAGGATAGAACAGGGTTCAGATCTTTTGTTCATAGAGTCCCTATGAGTCATACTTGATTTGGTGGCACCTAACAACAACAACAACAACAACAACAACAACAGTAATGTGATCAACTAGTCCATAGTTTGTCACTCCAGCCATAGTAGATCATGTGATTATCTGATTACGTTGACAGCTTTCCAAGTTTATACTTCATGTATTGCATATTCACTATTAGTGGATGTATTTCACTGTTTCTCCTCAGTTTGAGTAGTGCCACTACAGCAAATGAAGGTATTTCACGGGCTAAAAATTTTATTCCATCTCCATCATTAATGTATACTCTATTTGAGGTTCTTTCACAGTTATATTTCAAATGCCTTTCAAAGTGAAGAGCTCTATCTTCTACCACTATATCAGACAATGCTTTGCCGTTTATCAGAGGACTTTCAAGGGTTTATTATTTCAGAAATGATGAATTAAGTAAACTTAAGATTGTATAACTTCTCCTCCCACCCCCATGTATACATTTTACCAGCTATGGCCAGATCATTGTAGGAACTCATTAGCTAATCTATTTAATTGTTCACACACTTTAAATATTTTAATAACCATGAACTAGGCAGAAATAGTTTTCCTAATGAAAAGATTAGTATGTAGCTAATGTTGTTATGTACAGTTGAGTTGCCTGCGACTCATAGTGACCCTATGAACAACAGCCCTAAACCTGCTCTATCCTGTGCCAATCTCACTATCTCTGACACACCCATCCCAATTACCCCAGTCACTGAATCAATCCATCTCATTAAGGTTCTTCCTCTCCTGTGCCGTCCCTCCACCCTCCTAAACATGATGTCTCTCTTCAAGTACTGGTCCTTGCAACATGTCCAAAGTATGTTAGGTGAAGTTTCAGAATTCTTGCCTCCAAGGAGCAGCTTGGTTTAGCCCTCTCCAGGATGAACCTATTTGTTCTCTTAGCAGTCCATGGTACACTCAATACTATTCTCCATTACTGAAGCTCAAAGACATCAATTCTTCTTCTATCATCCGTAGTCATTGTCCAGCTCTCTGATGCATAGCAAGTGATTGCAAAGACCATGGTCTGTATCAAGATCACCTTAGTCTCCAGACTGACATCATTGCTCTTCAGTACTTTGGAGAGATCTCTGACAGCAGACTTTACCAGTCCAATATGTCTTTTAATTTCCTGGCTGCTGGTGCCAAAAGGTAGTATATAATGAGCTGAACTACCATTTCTGAGAAGTTTCTATTTGACCCACATAATACTGTCTTGGAAGTTATTTTATTCATAGGATATCCATTTAAAGGATCTTATAGGTTATATATCTAGGATCTTTATGGATCATATATCTAGAGATGGCATTGCTTGGTCGTAAGTATTTCCATTCTTTATAGATACTATTCACCAAGTTTCCAAAAGTAAAAAAAAAAAGTAATTAATTAAAAAATTGTTTCTGCTAAAGCTGATCCTACTAAACCACTGTGACTTAGCTAATTCACATCTGAATATTCAAACAGATGAACCCAGAAGACTTATAAAAGAACTCTAGTAGAAGCATTATTCAAATTAGCTGAAACTGAAAGAATACACAAGTGAGTCAACAGGAGAATGGAAAAAACTGAACAGTGCTATATTTGTGCAGTGAATATGAAAACATGAACACAAAATGAGTGGAACTCATAAAAAACTGAATGTTTCAAACTGGACAAAATGTTATTGAATGATGCCGTTTATATTGTACTCAAAAACAGGCAAACTAACATGCTAAAAGGCAGACCAGTACTTTGTGTGATAGCGGTTAAGACTGATGAGGGCACTTAACTGCTGTGCACTTTATGTTTTGATAAAATACATACATTCATATTTTGATAAAATACATACTAGAAATAATATGTCAGCTACAGAAGAGAGTTTCCATAATGGGAGTGAGAAAAGTGGATGATAGGAAGAGCAGTGGGAAAGACATTTCATTTACTTCATAATATGTCACTCATCCTCTTTCCAAATTTGGCAAGTTTCCTACAGCACGAACTTGCCAGCTCAGCTCCTACATCTGAGGTTCCCAAACTTCTTGTCTGGGGCTCCTCCCGCTTGGAGGCGGGTAAAGGACGGATCAATACCCAGACTTAGTGTGAGAGGGAGGGCTCTACTCTCCTCTCGCGCATACAGTACACCAGGCACGGTATGAATTAGAGGTGGAAGGCTGAGGGGCCAGCCAACACCGCAGCCACGAGCGAAGGCTGGGTGTTTCAGCAGCGGCGCGCTGGACAGCGCCAGGGTGACTTCCGCTCTTCCAGGCCAGACATCCTTGGGACACTTAATCCCAGAGGGAAAGATCACTGCTATCTAAGGGATAATTGTTCTCCCGCCAGGGTAAACATTGCAGAGGGGAACAAAGACACAAAGACGCAATCAATCTCTCGCCCACTTTTTTTTTTTAAATTCCTAGCCAACAGGCACCAATGGATTTCTTGCAGAACTGAAGCACTTGAGCATTTGGATAGAAGGAGTGACTACGTCCTTTTGTAAAGACAGAGAGGTGACATTCGCTCTAGCAGTAAAGTTGAAGCAACCAGAGAGAGAACTCAATTAAGCCCCAAACAGGTGGGCACCTGTGCATAGGAAAACTCCAAGCGATTCTGCTGGGACAGCGACCATGCCTCCCAGCTCTCCTGTCAACCTCTCCCTGACCACGGACGCCAATCACAGTGGTCTGGTCCCTTCAGAAAGGGACGTGGTGCCCGCCCCGGACGGCAGCACGGCCGAGCTGGTGATCCGCTGTGTGATCCCGTCCCTCTACCTGCTCATCATCTCGGTGGGCTTGCTGGGCAACATCGTGCTGGTGAAGATCTTCATCACCAACAGTGCCCTGCGGAGCGTCCCCAACATCTTCATCTCCAACCTGGCCGCCGGCGACGTGCTGCTGCTGCTCACCTGCGTGCCCGTGGACGCCTCGCGCTACTTCTTTGACGAGTGGATGTTCGGGAAGGTGGGCTGCAAACTGATCCCAGTCATACAGCTCACCTCTGTGGGGGTTTCTGTGTTCACGCTCACGGCGCTCAGCGCTGACAGGTAAGAACACCCAGGAGTGGTGGCCAAGGGGGGGAGGGGAGGAGGATGCACCTGGACCAGAATGGGGCGGAGAGATAAAAGTCTGAGAAGAAAGGGGGAGGCTGGGGGAGAGGAGAAGGAAAAACAAGGGTCTAGGGATTAGAATAAACTGAGTTAAAAGAGATGAAAAGGGAAACTTGGAAAAAACGATGGTAAGTAAAGTATTTTCAAAACCAAAGTTGCATTAAGTAGTTTGAAAGAAGTTTTTAAATGGTTTATCAGTGCCTCCTTTATAAGCATCTTTACTTAACTACATAGAAAAGTTCTAGAACAAAAATGTAATACTGCACTTAATCATATAGAAGGCTTTTTGTGTGTGACTAAAATCTCTTGAAAGTAATAGTTTAATATATAAGAATGACTGCCCTAATATTTAAAAAAATATTTATTTCGAATGTTTCTCATATAAAGGAAAGCGCATTTACAATTATTAATGAAATACTACTGTTTTTGAAAGAAAAACATTTAGCGTAATATTTTTTCTTCAGACAGGTGAATTCACATTCTTTTTCCTTAGTGACTAAGGCCATGTGTTATAGTCATGTTTTTCCTCACAAACAACTAAGTAACACATTTTAGTATCTTAACAGTTAATAAAAATATTAACCTCGTTAATGGTGAATCGATTTACACACATTTTAAGGGTATGTTATGCCCACCACTTTACTTTGCATGTCAGTTAGCGCAAGTATGTTATTACCAGGTGAAGACATTTAGGCTCAGAACATGTCATGCTCCCCTGGCAGGAGGGAGTGTTACTGGGAGAAGAAGCCAAGCCTCTTGATTCTTGGTCCGGTGCCATTTCTCCTGTTATAATCATGCTTTGGGGAAGTTAAACAGGAGATAATATCTAGGGTTGTAGTAGGCTGGGGCAAAGTGTAGAATTAGGCATAATTGAGTAGAGCTTTTGATCTAATTCCCTGGGAGAGAGGTTGACTTAACACTCTGTAGAAACACCATGTAACTTGGATAATTAAGGTGGTGGTTATTATCCTCCTCTTTAATTTACATACTAAATTATTAATGAAAAAGGAATCCGGATATGGATTTCCTGGTATTTGCAGTAATAACCTTACATTACTCTGGCATTGAAGAGCTAATCTCTATTGAAAGAAAGAGAAGATTCAGTGGGGAGTTGAGAGCTATTGTAATTTTTCTTTTTAAACTGAACACTATTAACTTTTAAACGTGGGCAATATACTCTCTAAAACTATATTGTTGTAAATTCAGGTGTCTTTTGTTCTATGAATCTCATTTTGTTTTCATGACATCATCTTTATTAATGAAAAACTTTGTATTTGACTTTCAAAACTAAAATGTGACCTTTTTAGCTTAGTTGTACTTTTTATGGTACCTGTTTTGAAAAGAAAGAATACTTCTATTTGATGATCAAAATCAAGTTTAATGTAAACCATCCCTACAATGTTTAAAATCACTGTCATTATGCTTTTCTTTGAGAAGATCCAGGGCTTGCATTTATTTCTCATCTTTTTTTCTCAATCTACTGATAAGAAAATATTAGTAAAATTATGTTGAACAACTCCAGGAAAAAATGCTGATCCTTTTATTTTTATTGTGTTTCTTCATTTCATATGTTTATCATATACTTCACGAATATAGCATGGATACATAAATAAAAGTAACAATCAAAAAAGGTGAGTTGCTTCTTCTCCTTGGTACATTTGGCTACCTTTTCCTAGCAGTGTGTGTTTTGGAAATATAAAATGAGAACACTGAGACACTAGTGACTAAACCAAATGATACATTCAAATATTCACTTGGAATGAATGGCTTGAAAATGAATTGTTACAAATTGACTGCATTTATATTTTTCAAAAAGAACATGATAATCAATTCATATTACTTGATCTCCCAATATTTTATCTCACCAACGTTTTGATTTCTTGTGGATTGGAAGTAATTATAATTCATATTACATTTTACACTAAGCCAAGATTTTTATATGAGTTTGTAATTCTGACAATACTATGAACTCATTACTCTTACTGTTACTTTTTTGTAGTTAAGAAATCTGAGAATTAAAATTAGCAAAGTTATCATGACTTAAAACTAAATTTTGGATTAAATTCAATGTCTTCACTTTTCATCAGATTATTACTTTCCCAGGAAAAGAAAATTTATTAGTGATCTTTCATAATTATAACAGACTGAAAAGTTAACATTAAAATAAAGCATCCAGGAGCAAAAAGAAATAAAAGGAAGGCAAAGCCTGTACAAAAGAGTGGAAAAAGTATAAAAAAATCTTGACTGTAAATTGAAAGAAGAACTTTGAATTTTAAATGATGTAGCCATTGCAACAACAGGAAAATTCAGGGGGAAAAAGCCTGTCAATGTAGAAAGTATAGATTTCTCCCCCCCCCCAAAAAAAAAAACAAATGGTTTTTTGTATAGCCAAATACTTCATCTTCACAAAATACCTTAATAGTTTTGTGTTCATAAGTAGAAAATGGAAAAGGAAAATGGAGAGAAGTAAATTACAGAACACATACTCCAAGATGAGGACTTGAGTGTTATAGATCACTGATGAAAGCTCCACTGGATAGCAGAGATTGAACTAAAATAAAATACAGTATCTAGGAATCTACCTCAAGACCTTAAGCTACGTTATTTCATATCATCAAAAAATAGTATGAGTGACACTTTGTGACACTTAATTTTTTTTTTAAATTTATGACTTCTCATACTCTTTTTCAATGGATCCATTGTTGGGAAAAAAAATTATTCAGTCTACCATAGAAATGATTCTGTTGTTCATAGGGTCGCTATCAGTCTTAGTTAACTTGAGGGTGTACACCACCACCACCACCACCACCACCACCAAAGCCATTCTTGTTGTTGGAGGCACAGGATAATGAACTTGTGTGGAGTGATACTCTTCATTTTTTGTTTTGCTTCACACACACTCTGGTGGCCTAAGGATATGGAGTTACTCAACTTATCCAAAGGCAGAATTGCAGAATCCACCAGCAGTCCCATGGGAGAAAGATGGGCCATCTCTTCCCATGTGATTTACTATCACTGAAAACCACTAAAGGGTCAATTATTATTCTGTTTTGATTCAATGATACCTGACAATAATGATGCATGTTGTTGTTAGATGCTGTTATATGACTGTAACTCCAAACAACCTTACCAACAACAGGCATGACATTTACCCCATCCTGCAGCAGCCTTATCATTTTTACCACGCTCAGAACTACTGTTGTGGTTAATGCGTCCATCCATGTCATTGAAGGTCTGTCTTTCTTTTACCTTCCATCTTCCCCAGCATGATATTCCCCCCCCTCCAATCACCTACTCTTCCTGACAAAATGCCCACAGTTACAGCTATTTCCACATTGATTATTGATGTGATGGCATTTCCAAGGATTGAATGTCATTACTTTGTATCTTGGAGACTTTTTTTAAAAACTAATTTCAATGAACATTTACAGAGATTTTGGATTTCCATTCATTCACTGTTGCACTTTTCTCCCCGCTCCCTACCCCCCGTTTGCTCTTCTCCTTGAAAAGCAAAAGAAAAACTCCTTCATCGGTATACAATCCCCCCACACCCCCAACCCCCCAACCAGAGTATACTCCACTCTGCAACCCTCATTCTGAATTCTTATGATAATCATAATGCCCTAAAATATATCGCTTTTAAACTGTTTTCTCTTTCATCGGCTTCAGTGCAGTATACATAATTTATCCAGTTTTTCTCAGTCTTACCCCCACCTTGGAGACTTTTTTAACATCCAAAGGACCATTACTAAAATGCAAATAACTTTTTTCTTAATTTTTACTAATTTTAATAAACATTTACAGAGATTTTGGATTTCCATTCATTCATTGCTGCACTTTTCTCCCTACCCACCTCTCCCCACCAGTTCTCTCTTCTCTTTGAAAAGAAAAAGAAAAAAAAATCCTTCATTGGTATACAATTCCCCCATCCCCCCCAACTTCCCCACATGGAGTACAACTCTCTATGCAACCTTAATTCTGGATTCCTGTGCTAACCATAATATTCAGTCATATATCGCCTCTAATCTGTTCTTTCCCTCATCTGTTTCAATACAGTACACATAATTTATCCAGTTTTTTTCTCAGTCTTACTCCAACCCTGATGTCAGTCCCGTTCTACAAAAGTGACACCATGCAGTACAGAATTCTTAAAGAGTAGTGTTAAAAAATTAAAAACTTTTAAATTTTAGATATCAATCCCTTTTTCTTATTCCTCACATCAATCATTATTTACTAAAATACATTTGTAAATTGTACTTGAAAACGATGAAAATCATAAAATGAAATTTATATTAATAGGAGATGCTAAATTCAAATAAAAATGCAAAATACAACTTAAGTTAATGTGCTTATTTAGTTGAAAACAATTTAATGAAATGATAACATTGTTTCAAACATGAGTAAAGAAAACGTGTATTAATAATTTCAAGTTTTTACTACTTAAGATAACTAGATTTAACTCCAATCCTGAACTGTATACAGAGACTTGAATTATTAGTGTTATTTGAGTATTCCATCAATACAGACAGTCTCTTCAATATAATTGTAAATTAAAATCTTACACTCAGCACTTTTTAGAGCTAATGAGGCCTTTGGTTAGCCTGTGTTCAGTGGTGAGATGAAGACTGCCATTTTTCACCAAAACCTTCTGACTGAAGATCAAGCCTAGGTTAACTAGGTGCTCCATAGAATATGCATTCTTCTTTGATCGAGAGTCCAGAGTAATATACTGGAGAACACTTATTTCTCAGTTTATATTGAGCTTGGCATTTATTGTGTGTGTTCTTGCTAATTGTTAAGAAAGCCCAGGCTTTTACTTCTTGGGAAAGAGTTTGTACTCATCCTACATATAACCCACGTGACTTACTCACTTTCAACTTGCTCCAAAAGAATTTTAAGTTAGGTTAAAAATAGAGCTACAGACAATAGACAACAGA